ATCAATTCAACATATAGGCCTGCTTAGAAATCTTCCAAGAACACATTTATACCACCAAAATTCAATAATAAAATCATTTCATATAAAATTTCCAAATTTTCACAAAATAGTATAAACTTCACAAAATCAAAATTTAAACAAGATAAGAGTGTTTATGAACACTTACCTTAAAACTTACTCAAAATTCAAGCTTGAACACCCAAAGTACCAAATCAAACTTGAGGTCTTGCATTTAGCCACCTTAGATAGCTCACCTTTTAATTACCCCTTAAAAATTCTGCACATCTTTAAGCTCCAATTCAATAATAACCTTGAATCTTCAAGGGAAGGTCTTGGTTGGAGTTCATAATGGTCTGTTAGAGTGATTTTTTTTATGAGAAATTGAAAACAATAAGGAAGAGAAGGAGGAGCATAATGGTTCGGCCAAGGAAGAAGAAAGAAAGAAATGGGGTTGCTCATGTGACATATCCTGGACATCAGGGGCATCACCTTAGGCGGAATCCCAACATCGGCTACGGACGAGGTAAACGATCATAAGGGGGGTAGTCTCTAACCTTGGTAGGCGCCTTTTGAGTTGGCAGGTGGGTGGACCCCTGGCTCAAAAGGGACAAACTGTGAGGTGTCAGGAGACATCCGGGCCATCCGGGGGGACTATGCCCAAGCGGGACAAAATACTTACCAGGGATAGTGGCATATGACAACTTGGTATCAGAGCCGGCCCTCGTTCCCTCTGCTGGTGGATGGGGCACAACCTCAGCGAGGACGCTGGTCCCTTAGGGGGGTGGAATGTGGACATCCTGGACATCAGGGGGCATCACCTTAGGCGATCCCACATCGGCTACGGGACGAGCGTAAACGATCATATAATAAGAGGAGTTAGTCTCTAACCTTGGTAGGCGCCTTCTTGAGTTGCAGAGGTGGGTGGACCCCTGGCTCAAAGGGACAAAACCAGGGGTATGTGGGGACATCGGGCATCCGGGGACTATGCCAAAGCGACAATACTTACCAGGGTAGGGCTTCTGACAAAAAACTCTAACCATCCTTATATCAAGATTATTTTTAGTTACCAACAATAGTTGCGGTCCACCAAATAATTTCGGCAAATATATAAAAAAAATAATATTGCATCAATTTCACACCAATAATTTCGGAAATATTAAAAAAAATAATATTGCATCAATTTCACACCATATCTATAAATATAATAAAACAGAGATATAAAAGACATGACATAAAATTAGATATTTAAAGTGATGACTTGGCATTATTTTTTTACATTTTTAATTTAGTTAATCTTTTTTTAATGATTTTGCATATGTATTATGTTAAATAATTACTATTAAATAGTTATATTAAATAAAATCTTGAGTAATTGTATTATTGACATCAAAACCAATATTGAGGAATTGAAAAGACAATCTATAGTCAAGGAATTTCTCTAATTTTTTCTTTTCAATACTAATGTTTTGTTGATCAGAATCATCATTTACAACTTTATACTTTATATTTATATTTGCTTTTAATTTAGCTTCTTTTCTTCTTATCATATTTGTTTTAATTCTTAATTTAAGTTATAAGATTTCAAATATAGTACCCATATTTTATAAATTGGATTGCATTAAAAATATTATAAAGTTTATTATATTTAAAATTCTAAAATTCATGTTACATGTCAAACAAATCTAAAATCAATAATATTTCGTAAATTTAAAATATAATCAGATTAGTTTCCACCTTTCATTATTCAATCAAATTACCTAGTGGATTATTTAAATAAAAAGAAAAACCACCTAAGATCTTTCCTAATATTTTTTTTCAAAAGCAATATTTCATAACTTGTGCATCGCGCAAGCTCACGATTAGTTATAACAAATAATTTTTAAAAATGACAATATTATGACCTGTAGATCAACCTAATGCAACAATTATGTTGGTTAAAGTATTTATTCCAATAATATCACTACAAAAAATTCGGCAGTTACCGATGAAACTTTTTTCATTGGTAATTAGCGATAAATCACCGGCGAACTTAAATTCTATTGGCAATTAAGAGCAATAAATATTTGCACTAATTTTTTATTTCTACCGATGGGTTAGTGGCAGATTACCGATGAAATCACCGACGGATTTTAAATTCCGAATGTAAAAAAAGCGCTATATATTTGCGCATATTTTTAATAATTTATTGACGGATCACCAATCAATTACTCACAGATTAATGATAAACATATTCCGTCGCTAATGCGTAGCTATTTAACAACGGATTACCGATAAAATTTAAAAAAAAAAATTAAAAATTTAGGCTGTATAAATGGGCTGTAAAGTATCAAATTTACCGACGGATTTTAGAATTTAGCAATAGAAATTCCGGAGCGCGGCAAAATAAATAAATTAGTGACAAAATTTTCAATTTATGACGAAATTTCTGTCGTTAATCGCTGAATCTACAATATAAATTCGCATATTTCTCCCTCCTTCATTTTTTCCTGTCATTTTATTTCTACTTCCTTTATTCCAATTAAAAAAAGAGGTATTATTGCAAGTCGGTGTCCACAAGAGAAACTATTAGATCACCCTTCAATAATGAAAAGTCTTTGTGTTGAGGTACCCTTGATTTATTGGCCATATTTTGGAGAACATTTTGGCAGTTGCATAAATTGTTGCTATAAATGGGGATTTGCAATTAAATTTTTATTAGTGATTTTAAAAGAGATGAGGTAGAGAAGGTTGTGAAGGAGTTGATGGCCGGAGAAAATGGCAAAATAATTTAGGATAGAGCTACGTAGTGGAAATAATTTTTTTGAAAAAATTGAAACCAAACAAATCAAATCAAATTGAAAATCAAATCAATTTGATTTGAGTACATAGGCAATCAATTCATTTTGATTTTTTTATAAAAATTTTCATTCGTGAAGTTTATATTGATCCAATTCAATTTGGTTAAATCAAACTGACTGAATTCATTAATTAAAGTTGAGCTAACTATCAATTTTAGATGGATCTAATTTATTGGTTTAATATTCTTGTAGTTTATGTGTAGTTTGATATCATTCAAATCAGACATTGATCATCCCTAGTAGCCATAGAAACCATGTCGTATAATTCAGTTAAAAAACCCTTCCCTTCCCTTTTTTAAAATCTATTAATTATAAAAATTATTTGCCAAGTTTCACCTACGCTATGGTTTCACAAGATTGAACCTTTTTTGTTCAACCGAGTTCCAGGACAATAATATTGCAAGATCAAATAAAGAAGACACGTAATACATATTTTTTCTAATTAAAATACATAAAAAAAGCCAAACTTAAAGGATATTTAAAAGATAAATAGAATTTATTTTCTCCAATTAAAAGACAATAAAAAATACGACTAAAATGATAACTAAATAGATATATTAGAAAATTTAAATTAATCTAAAACTATTATAGTAAATCTCATTATTTCTTTTTATTCCATATTTATATATAATATTGATATTTAATTTAAAATAATTGATATTTAATTTAAAATAATTTTAAGTATTAAATAATTATTATACTTTCTGCATTTTTAGCATAAGAATAGATAATTATACAATCAAAATCACCAAAATGGTCAACATTGTTTAATTACATCAATCAATCACACGACATTTCCTCTTCAAAAAATAAATAAACCCTATGAATATACAATATAAAATTATTTAAAAAATTTTTCAATCTTTAATTATTTAACCTTTTCAACCACTCCTCATACAATATTCAAAGTTCGTTGCTTCTGAAACATTATTGTCTGAGTTGAAAACGGCAAACCTACCTCCAGAAAGATATTGTCGAGTCCGTAAGAAGCAAAGCGTAAACAATTACACCCTTTTTGTTAAATTCAAGTGATTATCTTTTATATTTTGTTTTGTTATATCGTTATATCATTCTATTTATTTTATATATTTTATTAGATATAAAGATAAATTCATAAATTTTTGCAAAGTATAAAGATAAAATAAATAAATAAATAAATAAATGGACAGATTAGTTAATTTTGATAAAGTAATATAAAAGAGATAAAAAAATATAGTAATGAAACTATAATTAAAAATGCAGGAATAATATTTTATATTATGGCAAAATATAGACCTTAAAAATCACAACTTTTTTCCTCCTAACATTCAAATGTTAATATTCTGAATATTTATTTATTTTTTTTGAGTTAAAGTTTGGTCAACTTTATATTATTTGGATTAAAGATAAAAGAAAATAAGAGAAGTGCTAGTTTTGAAAACAATTTTTTTTTTTTTTTTAGTATCAGGGAGGGGGATTCGAATCTGAATCTATTGTCAAACCGTATATATATTTATCACTAGTTTATACCTTGGTGTGCTAAGTTTTGAAAATAATTTTTAGATTGCAGATAACTTAGGAATGATAATATAATTATCAGAATTATATTAAACATAATAAACCTGGGGAATGTGGCTCAGTTAGCAACACAGGTCGGATATATGGAAAAAGTTCTCGGGTTCAATTTCCACTAAACGTATCTGCAGGGAGGGGAGATGAGCTTTAACTGTGACTAAGCTCCGAGTCAAATTAGGCGGTACCTGATAATGGATTCCGTATAATGGTGGTTTAAAAAAAAACAAAAAGAAATTTAATCTATTAAATACAAAAATTATATAGAACATATCCACCAGTTGGACAAGTATAAATATCAGAATTACACAAGAAACTATATAAAACAGACATTGAAAATATATAGTTCATGTGATTTACTAATATTGTATATATTTTTCTTCAGTTCATGAATGATAATATTTAACAATAAATTGAATCAACATTATTTTAATATCATGAAAATCACATACCAACTAACAATAAATTGAACTGATGAGTTTTGCTGTACCTTTCAATAAGTCACTTTACACATATTGAACTGCTGAGTTTACCTGCATCATGTTGCCATCAAGTCTTGCCCATTATAAAAGCACGTAAAGGCCATAGCATTTCCTTCATCTTCGTCTTCCATCTTTCATTGATAAGTTGCTTCATTGATAAGTTGCTTATTTTGCAAATTTTGAAAAAATGGTTGTTGCCGGTAAGCTCGAAGCAGATGTGGAAATCAAAGCTTCTGCGGACAAGTTTCATGATGTGTTTGGGTCCAGACCCCATCACGTAAAGCATGCTTCTCCTCACAACGTACAAGGTTGTGAATTACATGATGGTGAATTTGGAAAAGAAGGCAGTGTTGTCTTCTGGAATTATGCTCATGGTAAAGTTCCAACATTTTTCTATCTTAAATACATTATGGAGATTTGAACTCTTAAACTAGGTTTTTAATTATTAACTGCAGATAATTTTGAAGTTTTTTTATTTTCTTTTTGAAAATTTTCTTGAAAATTCGAACAGATGGAGTCCCTAAAATTGCGAAAGAGATTGTTGAAAGGATAGACAACGTGAACTTGTCTACCACCTTCAAAGTGATTGATGGAGATTTACTGAAGGAGAATAAAAGTTTCAAAATCACTGTTAAAGCTACACCAAAGGGTACTGGAAGTGTAGTGCACTGGACACTGGAGTATGAGAAGCTGAATAAAAATATTCCAGACCCACACTCTTTCCTTCAATTTCTGATTGAGGTCTCCAAAGATATTGATGCCCATCTTACCAAACCATGAACTTATAGCCTTATCCATCAATAAACTGTTTGCTTGCTATATATTATATATATGCGTGTGATTAAGCTTACAGTGGAATATACATGTAATAAATAAAGAAATCAGTGAACCAGGTTGCTCATAGGTTGGCTAGAGCATCAGTTTCTGTAACTGGTTCCATGGGGTGGGGTCCTGTCCATCCAAGCAGAATTGATGATGCTTTGCTCTTAAATATAAATAATATATAATGCAGTTTGAATTTTCAAAAAAAAAAAAAAAGTCTGGATTTTATTAATCCTTCGATCCTTTATATATATATATAAACTTTAATTGTATGTAACTTTAATGTATTGGGTTTTTCTTGATGTACTAATAGATGTGATTTTATTAAGGATGTCTCCATGGCTCTTATTTAAAAAGTTTTTGGCTATATATATATATTATATATATATATATATATATATTTATATCAGTGAAAAGGAATATAAAAAATCAAATGTGTCAAACTTAATGAAATGAAAGGAACATAAACAGAAAGACAGATAAAACATAAAAAAACAAATGTTGTAGAAGATCCAAAAATGAGAACAATAATATAGTGATGATCATAAATCAAGAATTTACAGAAACTCACCATATTCTGAAAATTGTCATTTTCTAAACTCTTAAACTATTCCTATAAAACGGAATTTAAAGAAAAATCACCATATTCTGAAAATTGTTATTTTCTAAACTCATTTATCAATCACCTATATAAAATTTAAAGGAATATTTTCGTTGATATTATAGAATTAACATGCAAGTCTGATATTCATAAAAAATTATACAATTCAATTATGCTAGTTATTTGTTTGTTCAAATAAAAAATTATTTGTTTATACAATTCAATTCAATTAGCGTTTGAACTAGTTTTAAGAGGTTAAAATATCGTTTTATAAAAATTTAACCCATATAATATTTAGCTTTTAGTATTTTATGAAAAGCTATTTAACCAGCTAATAGCTAAACCTACTAAAACAGCTAATAGCTACCAAAATAATTAATTTTGTCGAGCAGACTATAAACGTGGACTTCTTATTTTTGAAAGAAAAAGTAGACATTTAAGTAGTCCATTTTTATTTATAAACATATAGTACAACTAAAATTATCCACAAAGTTTGGAGTTTTTTTTTAATAATCTAGAAATATTACTGTTTTGTTCTTTTTTTTCCCACCGTCAAAAATACACTCATTTGAACCAAAACATTGTAATTGATTTGATATATATGTGACCACTTATCTATCCCTAAATTGTAGTACCACTTATCTTGATAAAATAAAATAATATAAATAAATAAATAAATAAAATACTTTTTTCTAAAAAATATTGATAATATTGACGTTAGACAACTAATTTCTGAATTAGCAATTAGATTCATGAGGGACTGATTTCCTTCCCTTAAAATGATAGTATTAAATTTTGGTTATTATTTCCTATTAAGCCATCAATATATTGACTCTTGAAATATCGTTTTTCATTTCTCAAAAAAAAAAAAAAAAAAAAAAAACTTTTTTTCAATTGCTTTGAAAACTAATCTAACATCATTTTGAAAAAAAATAGTAGCGAAGTCATTCGATTTGATTGATTTATACACTTGAGCTAAAATTTTAATCAATAGCTAATAATTGTTAGAATTACATATTAGCAACTAATATCATCATCATTTTTGAAGCATTTTCGTATTGATTTATATTATATTTAAATTATATTAAATTTATAAAAATAATTATGACTAATTTCCTTTTCAATTTAAAAATTTCATGTGATTATTTTACTTATAATTGTTTTAAATAAATAAATAATCATTAAAAATTATTATAAATATAATTTAAATGATAATTTCGCTATACCATACATTAAAATTATTATTTTTTCATAGTTTAGATTGTAAAACTCTATTAGCTGAGTTAAGACAAATTTCTTTTACTTTTATTAAGAAATTTGTGAATCAAGTTGCTCGTATCATGTAAGGGCATCTATTTCTATGACTAATTTACATGGAGGGTATGCTTTTCTTCTTTTTTTGTATGACATCTTAGCTTTTTGATTCCAAGAATATGAACCGAAGCTCGGGTATTCCTTTCAAAAAATAAAATAATACATTCCCTTTAAGAAATTATATATATATATATATATATATATATATATATATTTCAATTTGTTGTAAATAAATATATTTCAATTTGTTGTAAATAATTATTTTAAAAAAAATGCAAATTTGGTTATATATTAATATAATCAAAAGTCAAAGCATCCAATTGGAGGAGAATAACCCCACTATTGTAAATAATTCTTTAAGAGATCAGTGTAGACAAAATAAATAAACTTCAAGACGTAATACAAAATTATATAACATATGTGTCAAACACTTAACACAACAAATTGAACTGCTTTTGGGAAATATTAAATTAGTTTTTAATATCAACGATTCAAAACTATAATTTAATTGCTCAATATGAATAAATTAATTTTCGATTTAATAGCCAAAACTTGCAAAATTGAAGAAGTTCGAAATGTGTTTAATTAGCTTAAAAAAATCATGATCATAAATATGATCATACATAGGCACATAAATTTCACACTATCCATATAAATATTAAAAAAAAATATTATTTTGCATAAATTTCACACGATCCATGTAAATATATAAAAACAGAGGTATAGAAATTGACATGGCATAAAATTAGATATTTAAAGTGATGACTTGACATCTAACTTGGCATTATTTTTTTGCATTTTTAATTTAATTAATTTTTTTATAATTTTGCATATGTATTATGTTAAATAATTCCTATTGAAAAGTGATATTAAATCAAATCTTGAGTAATTGTATTAATGACATCAAAACCAATATCAAGGAATTGAAAAGACAATCTATAGTTAAGGAATTTCTCTAATTTTTCATTTTCAATACAAATATTTTGTTGTTCAGAATCATCATTTAAAACTTTATACGTTATATTTGCTTTTATTTTAGCTTCTTTTCTTCTTATCATGTTTGTTTTAATTCTTAATTTAAATTATGAGATTTCAAATATAGTACCCATATTTTATAAATTGGATTGCATTAAAAATATTATAAAGTTTATTGTATTTAAAATTCTAAAATTCATGTTACATGTCAATCAAATCTAAAATCAATAATATTTCGTAAATTTCATATTTTTATAATATAATTGGATTTGCGCGATTAGAACATAATTTATACTCAGATCATGGCTAATCTCTTGTAAAGTTTAAAGTCTAAATCTCATGTTACATTAGATCAAATACAATATCATAAAATCAATAATCACTTTCGTAAATTTAAAATATACACAAAATTATCTCTATTCAACTAGATTTCAAATATAGTACCCATATTTTATAAATTGGATTGCATTAAAAATATTATAAAGTTTATTGTATTTAAAATTCTAAAATTCATGTTACATGTCAATCAAATCTAAAATCAATAATATTTCGTAAATTTAAAATATACACAAATTAGTTTCCACCTTTCATTGTTCAATTAAATTACCTAAGTGGATTATTTAAATAAAAGGAAAAAACACCTAAGATCCTTCCTAACATTTTTTTGTAAAAAGCAATATTTCATAATTTGTGCATCGCGCAGGCTCACGACTAGTTATAACAAATAATTTTTAAAAATGACTATTATGATCGGTAGATGAACCGAATGCAACAATTTTGTTGGTTAAAATATTATTCCAAGTAATGTCACTACAAAAAATTCAGCAATTACTGATAGAACTTTTTTCATTGGTAATTAGCGATAAATTACAGATCGAATTAAATTTTGTTGGCAATTAAGAGCACTAAATATTCACGCTAATTTTTTATTTCTACCAATGGATTAGCGACAGATTACCGACAGAATCACCGATGAATTTTAAATTTCGTAGGTAAAAAAATCACTATATGTTCGCACCTATTTTTAATAATTTACCAATGATCACCAACCAATTATCCATAGATTAGCGACGAAATATATTCCGTCGCTAATCCATAGCTATTTACCAACAGATTACCAATAAAATTCAAAAAAATAAAAATAAAAATTAAGGCGGTATAAATGGGCTGTAAATTATCAAATTTAAGGATTTTAGAATTTAGCGACGGAAATTCCGTCAGTAAATTTTAAATATTTTGGAGCCATAAATAGGCAGCAAGATAAATAAATTAGTGACGAAAATTTTCAATTTACGACGAAATTTCCATCGGTAATCGCAGAATCTATAATATAAATTCATATATTTCTTCTTCCTTCATTTTTTCCTGTCATTTTATTTCTACTTTTTTTTCCTTCTTCTTCTTCTTTTTCTTTCTTTCTTTCTTTCTTCTTTTTCTTCTTCTTATTCTTGACGTACGTTTCTCTTTTTTTTTTTTTTTTTACCTTTTGTCATTTTTATTTCTACTTTTTCATGTTATTATCTCTATCTTCTTTCTTTTCTTTTCTTTCTTTTCTGTATTCATACTAATTTTCTTACTTCTATTCTTGACGTACGTTTACTTCTTTTTTTTTTTTTTTTTTAACCTTTTTCTTACTCTCTTTACTCCTATTTGTTGTTTTAAAACATTCTTCCACCACTGTCATGTGTTTATTTTTTTCTATTTCTATTCTACCTTTATTACCTCCTTCTTATATAGAGTAATTTTTTTCCTCTATCTTCTTTCTAAGGGTTCTATGTTTCCCTCAGTCTTCTTTTCTTTGCTTCTCCTTCCCTTCTTTTCTTTTTTCCTTCATGTTCATAGTTGCTTCTTGTCTCAGGCCGTCTCAAATCTTCTATTTTCTCTCTACTCACTTGGTACATTCTTCTTAATTTTCTTTCCTCTACGTCTTTGTGTTTTGCTTTTATCGAGTTTTCATTTCTTCTTCTTCCTTTATAATTAATCTTTCTTTTAACTAGCTTAGTTATTAATCAAAAAATTTAATTGTTTTTTCCTCTTCTTCTTTTCTAGTTCTATGTTTCCCTCATTCTTCTTTTCTTTCTTCTCCTTCACCTTCTTTTCTTTTTCCTTCATGTTCATTTTTCTTCTTCTCCTCTATTTTTATTTTTCTACTTCTATTTCATCTTCTTTTTTCTTCTCCTCTTCTCTATTTGTTTTCTTCTTTTCTTTTTCTTTTTTTTTTCTTCCTTTATAATTAATTTTCTTTAACTAGCTTAGTTATTAATCAAATTTAATTGGTATGATTGTTAAGACGTAATTAATTTAGTTGATTTGATTATTAATT